ATATATATGGGCTTCTTGTTTTTCTTTTTTGCAGTCCATCGTGTTGGGTCTTAATCGTTCTGACTACATGTTGGACCAGAGAGAGGACCAAACGTCTTCTCTGAAGCAGATAGAGATCAATACTATTGCTGCCAGCTTTGGTGGCCTCTCCTCACAAACACCAGAGGTACACAAGTAAGTTGTTCAGCAAAAGATTGCACAGATTTGTATTTTTACAGAACAAAGATGGAAATAATACATTTTCATCCATACTGTAGCCGGGCAGAGCTGCTGGAGTAGAGGAGAAAGCAATGTCTCAACCAAAAAAATAATATGTGAACAGATGTCTACAAAAGAAACAAATCAAAACTAAAGTAACAAAATGAAACCTGTTTTAAAGTGACTGGTGTGAAACAAAAATTTTGATTTTTGTTGAAAGAAATTTCCTGCTTGAATGTATTAATCCATTGTTTAATCAAGACAAAAAAATAACAGTTTAAAAATGAAAAAGAGGACAAAACTTCAAAACTTGTGTAAAGACTACAGAAGGTTCCCTCCCTCCGGCTCCACAGGCACATCCTGAAGGTGGCTGGGAGGCTGGAGGAGAGTCAACGAATCCTGGACAACAACCCTGCAGCTGGTCTGGCCAGAGGACTGGCCAAAGCCTGGGAGCTGTATGGATCAGATAGGTAACCCACACAGATATCAGAATAAGACAACTTTAAGGCTGACTGTTTGCATCCTGTGGTTAAAGCGGATCAAACCCCAGAGTGGACAGTATAATACAATATAACACACAAACACTTTCGGCTAAATACTCCATGTTAACAAACAGTTTCAACTGTTTATGTTGTTATCTTTCTAGTCAGAGAACTTTATTTTTTATGATGGAAGCTGACGGTGTTGCCATGAGTGTTTTTTTGTTGTTGTTGTTTCAGGGCGGTGGTCATGTTTTTGGTGGAGGAAGTCCAGAGGAACATCTTTGATCACCGATACATTGAAGGCGAACTCTGGAAGAGGTAAGAGTCAGGTCATTCATCCTAGAAGGCGGAGCAACGTCCACTCAAGTGTTTTGAACAACATGACCTTTGGAGATTAAAGGATTTCTCAAACCTGCATGAAAGAATCTAAACAACACTCAAGTTATGTTGTTGAAGAAGGAATAACATATTTGATTTTACATAATACTGCCCCTTCAAATACTAAAGAAAAACCCAAACAAAATTATCTAAATTACATGATCAGAACCCACAGAAGTCCTAATCTGTCTTCTTTCAACATGAATGAACTCTCCAGAGAAAACATGGCTTCTGACCTGAAGGTTAAAATTTCAACAGTTTGTGTCCAGGATGTGTGGGTTTTCCTGTATAAGTTGGAGGCAAGTTCAGCCCTGATGATCCTCTCTGCACACCCTTATTGATACGATCATTATCACAACATTCAACAACCAATTATGTTTTCTTAATATCATACATTCCTTTTTAACGCTGAAGAGTGTTGTTGTTGCTGTGTCTTGTTAGCTTTTAGTTGTGATACACTCACTGATAACTTGTTATCTGACCAGGGATCACCAGTGTTGGGGCCATAGGGCAATTAGACTGAAAATCTGACAATTCCTCAGCACCTCTATACTTAAAATTGTAAACCTGATTTGCGTAAATCAGGGGTCCCCAAACTACGGCCCG